GTCGGGGCCTGCGAGGGGTGGGGGGGGGGCGCCGGACCGGATTGCAGTGTCGGTGTGCGACTTGTGCAACATGCGGAGGGCAGACTTGAAAGGTCCCTGCGGACACAAGTACCACGCACGTGAGTTTTGTAGGCCCACGTCGCTGGACTCCCGACCCAGATTTCTTTCAAGTGTTCCTGGTTGCGGGGTGGTGTGAGCGTCATGAGTTTGGTGATTACTTTGGTGTGCGAAATTTTCGCGTTTTGCCCACGGACCCACGGAATCAAGAGAGAGTGACGTTGTGCCATCCCACTGATAGCCGCCGCCCGCCGATGTGCTGGGAGAGCCAGCAGCCCAGGGAGTGGTGGCGGCGGCTGCTGCTGTTGTCGTTTTTCGTCGTTTCATCGCCATTCCGGATGAACCTTGCCGATGCATGCAGCGAGTGGAGTTCTGAAGAGAACGTAGGCGTGTCTGTATCCGAAATTTCTTGTTATGCGTGCTATGCTAGTACGGCGCGAGAGCCAACGACACACCGTCTCGCAAGGGAAACTTGGGGTTGTACACATGTTTCGGAAAACGTTGCAAGTAGTGTGGTTTGGTTTTTCTTTTGATTTCTGTCATGTCGGGTGATATTTGTGGAGCCCAGGTCAAACCTACCTATGGTGACCCGGAGGCTTGGTCGGCGTTGAGAATAAGCCACGCTTCCCCGGCTTTGTAAGGATGAGAGGATAAGATAACTTCGAGTATATGTATCTCTGTCTTGGGAGAAAAAAAAACACAAGGAAATCAAGTTTACCCACCGCGTTGTTTTAACGCTTAACGCTTTCCAACGGCTCCTCCTGGGAACGTTGGGGGATCAAATCAAGTAAACACTGCGCCGTGTATCATCTCCACGATAATAATAACTGAGAAGAGAGTACAAAAAATCGATCACATCACAATAGGTTGGATCAAGTCAATACATGCTTGCTGTGCACCATCTCGGCGTACAACTGATAGAGAAAAAATAAAGAAAAAAAACGGTACATCACAACAGGTTGCATCAAGTCAAAGAACACGGCGCTTATTTTGCCATCTCCCCATTACACCAAGATGACTGAGAAAAGAAGACCCACGACCGAAAATGAAATCGATCAATAGGTTGCATCTACGCGATGCCGATCACCCGGTGCCCGGTGTGTGACCAAGCGTTCCCGAACACTAACGATGGGGGGCTGCTCATCCTCCCGGTGGAGCCCTTCTCAAACGCCGGCGGCGCTACGGGGGAAAGCGAAGACGACTCGCGCACGGGCGCGCGTGACGGCGCCGAGACGCAAACAAGGTGTCTACCATGCTGCTGCTGCAAAAGGTCGCGCTAGCGCGATGTAGCACGCACGACGTGCAATTAAATGCTGTTGTGGTTGCCGCTAGAAATAATGTATCTAGTTTTTGACGTGTCACTCACACAAGCTTGATTGAGGCAACGGTTAGTGTGCATGTTTTGGTTGCTGCTGATTGGCGAGTGCTAACGACTCGGGGGCGACCCTCCCCCTCCCCCCCCGTGATTGATCTTGCGTTGCCTCCGGCAGGACGGGGCGATGGCACTCGTTTGAGACCATGTACGCCCAGCGGATAGTGGCGGATTTCGATGCGGGCACGTTGCCGCTTTGCGAGGGGACCAAGCTGGGGAACTTGCTATGCAGCATCCTCAACTGCTCGCCATCGTGAGTGTCGTCATTGTTGTTTCTGACGACGTCGTTTGTTGGTGGCGGTCGTGGTCGTTGTGATAGCACGTGTTTCGTGTCCAGAAAATTGTTGATGTTTGACGGGTCGCTGGCTACAAACGCGAAGGTTTTACTCGCAGGATAGCTGTTTTTTTTTTTTTTCGCTTCTCATATACTGCATGGTTTCCTGTGTGCGCTTTCGCTCTTGTTTTTTAATCCCGCTGTTAGGCTGAGGTCTTATTGTTGGTCAACAGGGTATTGTGTGTGCATGTCTTCCTTGTTAGCATGGCCCGCGCTATCCGGCTGACCATAGAGGTCAGCCTTGTACCGGAATAAAAAAACGAACACTTTCTTATCAAAGCATAAGGGGGGCCCCGCCGACTGGGTGGGCGTGGGGTACAGGTGTGTGTGCATATGTGTGTGTGTGTGTTTTTTATTATTATTGCCATCGACCGCGCTAACCGGCTTACCAATGAAAAGACGTCAGTCTCGGTGCGGTTGAGGGCACATAACACTTCTAAATGCCATTACCCGGGACCCCGTGATGGAGCGGTGTGGGAGAGGCTAAGCTATCCTCTGGATCAAAGACTGTTTGTGTCTTGTTCTCAGCATCGACCGCGTTAGCAGACTGGTCTATGAAACGACGTCAGCCTTTTCACGAGATGATAGATGTGAAGTATGTGTGTGTGTTCCTGTACTGTATCCCTTGTCCCTTTTCGTTCTTTTTGTTGTTCCTCTTGAGGGCTCTTTTGCTTTTGCCTTTGCATGTCTAATTTTGTGTTCTCTTCTTGAACCCACACGCCCGGACGCTCCCGTCCCGTCCCACATCCCATTCCGTTCCATTCCGTGCAGGCGTTTGTCCAAGAAGCTCAAGATCGGTAAGAAGTGCTTCCAGCAACGTCAGGGTCGTCCAATGACCCCGGAGCACATTGCAAGGCACCGGGAGGCGCAGAAACGGCTGAGTGATCTCGAGGAGGTGTGTTGTTGCTGTTGTGGTTGCTGCTGCTGCTGTCTTGACTCTCTTGTTTTGTTAGCTTGCAGCCAATACGTGACCACGCCAAACACGAGCATTTTACGTGCGGTGCGTTTGTCTGCTTGCATTTTTTGTTCTTAGCGTCGACCGCGCTAACTGACGGGCGAACGACGAGACATCAGTCTTAGTGCGGCGCGTGTGTGTATATATATATATATATTCATTATGTTGTTTTCTCTTTCGTTTTATTTTCTTGTAGTTGATTAGTTCATTTGCGCGAAAGGTACCGCAGTGGTTCGTATGATCGCACCCCCGTGTTATTTAGCGTTTTTCTAAAGCGTATTTCTCCGCAACCAGGGAGGTATCACCTCCGAACAAGGTGGTTTGGGAAACATGTCTTCGAGGGCTTTCCGGTGAGGTATCAGTTGGTGTTCGCGCCCTCCGGGTAGTGGAGAAATACGCTGTACAAGAACGCCAACACGCACAATTGCGGTATGTCGCCATGATGACGGTTTAGCGACCAAGACGAACGCTCGTGGCTGTTGTCGATATCGTCACGTGCTGTAGAACTTGGGCATGCAGACGTCGAGACGCTATTAACGTTTCCAGCTACAACACCTAAATACAATAGGTGGCATCTCCCCATGTGCGAGATGGAAAGAGGCTGTTGTTGTCTAGAGTACGCAAACATACTGGATGAAGTATAGGATCAGCTAGGTTAGGATTAGGGTTTGGGGTCTGCGTGCCCCCTGCTTGGCATTTTTTCGTGAATAATGCTCTTTTCGTAGGCAGTCCGTTGTCCAGCCAACAGAGACAAGAATAACACGAGCCTCAAGGCACTCGTAAGTCGCAAGGGTTGTCAGCGGTCGCGCTTTTGCAAGCACCACGAGTTTGATTTTTGTGTACGCATACGTCTGGCTTCACAGCGTAAGCGTTCTTTTGCGGGGATTGCAAGGGTCAATCGGGGTCCGTCCGCACGCAAGGAGCATGCTACGACCACCGGGGGTCGAATGGCCCAAAGTCATGCGACAACCGAACCTCCCGTTTGCCCCCTCCCCACAAACGCAAGGATAAATGACCAGCTTCCTTTTGAGCCGTAGCCTGGGCCGGCAAGAAACGGCATATCGCTCCGTTCTAGCATTGTTAGTGTGAGGCCAAAGGTCCAATGACTACGGCATGCGTTTACATGAGAGTACCCCCCCTCCCCTTGCGGGAACAATGCTCCGTCCTCTCGAGCAAGCGTGGTCAATGGTCTAGCGACCATGCACGGCTTGGAGTACACCCCCCACCTACCCCATTGTGAGGACAATGCGCCGTCCTCTCGAGGACGCATAAATAGTGAACGGTCTGACCGCTAAGTTATGCAACACATGGTCGACCGCTAAGACATGCAAAACATCAGAGAACACCCCCCCACACCCCCCTCCTCGCTCCACGGTCGTCAGATGTTCTTGATGGCGGAGAGCAGGGCCAACCGCGGCATGGCAAACGCCGAGACCCTGAGCGAGTGCATTCAGAAGGAGTGGAGGGAACGGCTGGTTGAACACGCGCTGGCCGTCAACCAGCGTCTCAAGAACGCGTGGGACTGGAACTCCAGTCGAAAGCGAGCGGAGCGTAAGCGGGCGGAGCTATCGACGAACGCTCTGAACAAGGTTTGTTTCATTTTGTTTTGTTTTTCGCCGGATATCTCACCGCTGCGAGGGCTCCTAATGTTTTTGTCGTTTTTCTGTTTTGTTTTACCTCAGGTGCGTGGTGCGCTTGTGGGGGTAGTTGTCCTGTGGCAACGGAAGGCACTGGAGTCGGTTGGACCAATACCGGCATAACTTACTCAACAGTAAGCGGGATGATTTTATATATGTGAAGACAGCCAAAACAACTTACTGAACAGTAAGCGGGATGATTTGATACATATGAAGACAGCCAAAACAACTTACTGAACAGTAAGCGGGATGATTTTATATATGTGAAGACAGCCAAAACAACTTACTGAACAGTAAGCGGGATGATTCGATACATGTGAAGACAGCCAAAACAACAATTCATCCCACTGGATGCCATAGCTGCGAATTTTTTTCTATCCTTGGTGGATGTTCGTGGATTCGAGTACTGTTTAACACGCGTCGTCAATCGTCGGAGATATCATGCCCCCGTTTGCATGAAGTGCATTGATGTTGGTGCGCAGCCGAGGTGTGTACGCAGAAACGGTTCTCACGCGGGACCTGAAACCTGCCCTCATCTTGTCCTCGGCTACAGTTTTTTTTTTTTTTTCGATGTCGTCCCTTTTTGATGTTTTTTGTCCCACGGGTGTAGGTTTCCCTTTGACAAACTGCTGCTGTAGATTGATGCAAGAGGCAACAGCCCTTTAGGATATTCGCAATTTCAAAGAAAAATAAGAACCCTTTCGGGACGTAACCGCAGTAGTCGAACGGGACGTATTTAAGTCTTGACAGTGAGTGGCGGAACCGCAACTCCCGCTGCTATTGCTGCTGCTGACGGCCCCGCTGTTCCGTAAACCGCTCCGCTGCCATTTTCCCTCCCTACGATCCAGCTTCTATCAACCATAAGTCCGAACCAGTCCTCGGACTCTACTGTCAACCACCTGGCGCCCCTCTTCTTCACGAACCACAACGCGAACGGCGGGGGTGCCGCGGGGAGCGGGGCGGGAGCGGCGGGAGCGGCGGCGGGGGCTGGGGCGGCCGCCGGGGGGGG